TAGCAAAAGCAATAAAACAGCAAAACTGTTTGGTAAAATAATAAGTATTTTCAAAAAACACTGGAAACGTACAATGGACTTTTTTCTAAAAGTGGGGAAACCAGCCTTAGCATCAAGCCAAGTCCAACACCACCCATCTGATTTAAAAGAGAAGACCCTGAGATGAACCAGTGGAGGCTAAAGACTCTCTTCAGTGCCTCAGAAGACAGCTGGAAAGGCTATGGGGTGGAATGGCGGAAACTCATTGTAAGGTTTTCTTTCTTGCCTCATTTACATTGCAATCAGTTAAATGGATTCATGGAGGGGTGGTTAGCACAGCAAGTCCTCAGATGTCTGGAGGGAGGGAGAATTATCAAGAATGTTTGTACTACTGTATTTTTGGAGTATAAGAGGCACCTTCCCCCCAAAAAAATGAGGGTGAAAATCTGTGTGTGTGTTATACACTGATTACAGCATTTTAGCCTCCCGAAACCCTACCCCCTTTGCAAAAATGGACATGCATAGCCCTTAGGAGGCTTCCAGAGTGCTCCTGGGGGCTGAGGGAGGGCACAAATGAGCAAAAAATGGTCCATTCTTTGCTCATTTTTGCTCCCCCTCCCCAGCCCCCAGGAGCACTCCATAAGTCTCCTAAAGGCTATGCATGCCATTTTTTGAAAAAAATGGGCCCGTTTTTGTGAAAAATGGGGCATTTTTGCTCATTTTTGGGGCCACCCAGCAGCACTCTATAAGCCTCCTAAAGGCTATGCATGCCCCCTCTTTTTAAACAAAAAACAGGTCCGTTTTCGTGAAAAATGGGGCATTTTTGCTCATTTGGGGGGGGCAGCCCCCAGGAGCACTCTACAAACCTCCTAAAGGCTATGCATGCCCTTTTGTTTGACAAAAGATGGACCCGTTTTTGCGGAAAACGGGCCGCTTTTGGGAGGTCTGCAGAGTGCAAAAATTGTTTTTTAAAATTTGTCTCTTCAAAATCGTGGTGTGTCTTATACTCCAGTGCATCTTATACTCTGAAAAATACGGTACTTGTCATGTAGGAATAGTTCAGAGGTGAGTTCCTGCCAGTTCTAACCAGTTAGGTAGAAGAGGTTTATCAAATCTACCGTACTGGCTAGAAGAGGTTCCACCGATGGACTCAGAGTCCAGCCAATCAGTGAGCAGCCTGGAGTTGACCCACCCGCCTCTACCACCCATTTAAAAGCGTGGTGCCAACGGCCAACATTCCTCTTTTGAAAAGAGTCTTTCTCATTCCCAAGCAGCTGTCGCATCATGCTTGCTGATCGGTTCCTCCCTTCACTTTGCCTTCCAGCATTTTGCTGCTTCCCTCAGGTAAGCAACTAAGCGTGAGGGGGCGCGGCAGCGGTGGCAGGAAGCTAGCGTATACCAGCTCGCGGCTTTCGTGAGGGAAGGCCCCCCCAGTCCCCAGCCTCACCTGGGCAGCTAAGCCTGCCAGGCAATGGGCCTAGCTGACCCGGTTGTCCCTTGTCCCTTCAGTCCAGCTTACTTGCTGCCTCATCGCCTGCCTGCTCCCTGCTGCATCCATCGCATCGGAGAGCTGCTGATTCTGCCTGCTGGTAAGTGACCTGTTTTTTTTTCCTTTTATGCTTTTAATGTTTTTTTAAAGAATATTTTATTTATTGTGTATAGAATGTTTTTTAATTGTTTTATTTAAAAGTATTGAGTATAGAATTTTTTAAAATGTTTATTTTAATTTATTGTTGATAGAATCTTTTTTTAAATTGTCTTAGACTATTTAAAAAAAGATTCTATCAACAATAAATTAAAATAAACATTTTAAAAAATTCTATACTCAATACTTTTAAATGNCGGCTTGCTTTAATTTAATTTTAATTTTAATTTAATTTATTTTTAATTTTATTTGTCGCGCTGCTGATGACGTCACGTACACGCTTTGATCGGGCGCGCTTTAGTGGACCGTGGTTTTGACGGGTCACGGTGTTAACAGCTATGGGTTGTCACTATCTCCTGAACTGCTGTTTGTGGAAACTTGTCAAAGCACCAAGATTGTGTGTGCATATAAGTGAGTCTCTCTCTCTAGCATAGGAGGATATGTTCCACATTCCTATGCACACTTGAAATATTTGCCCTTAGATATTTTTATTGACTTTTTCACCATCGCTTGTGACGTTCTGTCTGGATTACTGCAATTTCCTTGGCTGCCAGCTATATTTTAACTGTATTTTAATTTTTGTGTTGTGATGGAAATTTTGTTTACAAATTCTCTTATGATTGTTTGCCACCCAGAGTCACTTGACTGAGATGGGAATAAGTAAATAAATTAGCAGCGTATTGTCTTCCAGCAAAACACTGGAAAAGAATAATGCAAATATTCTATTAGACTAGAAACTTTCTGATGTATCCAATGCATAACTTTCCAGTTCAAACGTTGAAATATTTTAGCTGGATTTTAATTTTTGTATTGTGATGGAAATTTTGTTTACAAATTCTCTTATGATTGTTTGGAACGATCTACCCCTTGAGATCCGGACCCTCCCCACTCTCCTGGCCTGGGGCTGTTGATCTTGATGGATCTTCAGCCCCATTAAAACCGAGTGCATGTTGTGTTTTCGTTTTTAAGTCGTTCTGTCTTGTGTTTTTAATCTTTTTTTAAAATATTTTTAAACTGCTTTTATGTAAGCCGCCCGGAGTCCTTCGGGATTGGGAGGCATACAAATCTATTAAAATTGACAAATGGACAAAATTGTTTGCCACCCAGAATCACTTGACTGAGATGGGAATAAGTAAATAAATAAGCAGCATATTGTGTTCCAGCAAAACACTGGAAAAGAATAATGCAAATATTCTATTAGACTAGAAACTTTCTGACGTATCCAATGCGTAGCTTTCCAATTCAAACGTTGCAATCTTAAAACTGAAATCTTTGAAAAAAAATATGCGGCTGAAACAAGAGACGTAACTAATCAAATTCTATCCTACAACGTCTTTTTATCAAGAGATGCATTTTTTCATACTGCCTAGAGTTGCATGGTATCCTTTGCTCACGTGCAGCCTTCATACCAGGGGTGGGTTTCTCGCCCCACCGGTTGGAACGAACCGGTTGGAACGAGGCCGGCGGCGTCCTCGCGCGCGGCGCACGCATGCATACTAGCATCTATGCGATGCTCCAGCTGCTCCTGGAGGATCGCGCAGGCGCTGTATGCATCCTGCGCATGCGTGGAAGCGCAGAATTCATCAAAACCGGGTAAGGAGCGGGCGCGGGTGCGCGGGTGCACGCGAGCGCAGGGGGGGGCCTTCGCCGTTCCCGGAAGTTACTTACTTCCGGGTTCGGCGACCAACCGGTTCGCAGGGACCGCCGCGAACCGATTGAAACCCACCCCTGTCACTAAAGGACCATAGCAGTTGGAATAAAAAAGAACCATATGAACCTGTGTACCAAAACAAGCTTATTAAAAAC